GTGGGAAGTTTATCGTCATCGCCATTGAAAGTTGGATAATTTTCGCCATTATTTCATCTGCATCTAGAGCAAAATGGAACATTTCGCCATCGTTGTTCCAATTCACTTCAATCATCAACTACTGAGAATATCCAGTGCTAGATCATATTCAGACCATAGTAATGCTTTACCAGATCGTGGATGTGCTTGTTGGATTATGGATTGCGTCCACCCACCAGACCCTTGCGTCCACCCGCCGGACCCTTGCGTCCATTGTCGGACCGTTGCGTCGACAAACATTAGCCAATTGGACCGCGGCGTTACATAGTAAATTCAGCATGGGAATGATTTTGCTTCTTTTAAAATTTATTAAAAACATTTGTTATTGGTGGGCAGTATGTTCGATCGCACCATCGGCGTTGGGCTCTGCCACGTCCATCAAAATGTTCATATTTTATCTTCCCGAAGTTTATTTAATATTCTCGTAGATGTTTCATCGAACTTCCAAAATTCTCTTAAATTTCCATCCACTATACCCCGTAAGATATTTTCCGATTCCTACCAGAAAGTTATTTCGACTTCCCTTATTCTGGCTTCGCTAGAAAGGTTCTTCCGTCTTCTCCCACAAGTTTGTTTTTCAACTTCCCCGGGACTTCAGGGATGCTTCCAGAGTGTTATTGCGCTTCAAGAAAATTTCAAGAAGATCTGAAACTTCAGAAAAGTCTAAAATTTAGCGTAAGCTTAAAGATCCGTAAGGGTAAGTTCCAATAACTTGGAAGCAGATTCATTAACTTCTGTTAAAATTTGACAACACGGGAATTTCAAGAAAGTTCAGAGAACTCCAAAACATCATAAATAGTTTGGAAACTTAACAAGCCCAAAGAACTTCAGGGAAATTTAATAGTTTTCGGTACAGTTCCGTTTGTATCAGTAGAATTTAGAAAGCTTTAGGGAAGCTACACACTTAGAAAAAATCAGGTAAATTTAGGTGCACTGAGACTGACATATACGAGCGTCAATTTTGACATCAATTTGAGACATAAAAGACGCGAAATATAGCATAATCAAACGTACTTTTCGTCGAGCAACGAACTTTTCAGTCTCGGAGCACTTAATATTACATGACATGTTTGTTTACGTCTCATCTTGTATGTCAAAGATAGATTCCGTCACATGTAAAATTAGTTATTTCTAGGTGTGTATGAGAACATCGAAACAGATCAAATAATTTCTATAAAATTGCTGAAACTTTAAAAGAGCTCTGAGAACCTCAGGGTATTTCCGAAATCATCTACAAAGTCTCGAGAGGGGCATGAGAATTTTGGAAACAACATGAACATTAGAATATTGTGAGATCGTTTTAAGGAAGGTCTGTGCTTTTGAATGGCAGTATCGAGAACATTTAAAATTACAAAAAAATAACGGGACAATCAGCAAATTTCAATGTTGAAAGAAAGACGGCATAACGTATGTCCCTTGAGAAAGGCTAAGTCCAAAGACCGAAACGTCTAACATAAAACATCGTAGCATTTGGATTAGTATTTTTAAGTTTTATGGCGAGTTATGCCCGTACCTTCTCAAATTACAATTATGGTTGCTCCTCTAAATTTCAGAAATTTTGGTGCTGATTGCTTAACTATTCATGATTTATTGGTATGGATATGAGTAGCGTTTACTAGTAGCGGACATTCCGGAAATTTATTAAAAAAATTCTTATAAACCGACTTACTAAATGAAATGATGATAGTTTCAAAATTAGTAAATAAAATTATGATATTTTCAAAATTTCTTTCTGTGAGACACGGTAGAGATTTTTTAAACGCTTGTATCTTATTACCAAAGCAATTTATTTAATAGATTTTTCGACTGGTACGCATGAAGATTTCTTCAATATGGCTTTCTCAGTCAAGGGTAATCCAAACAGTCAGTTTTGCATTTCCAGACAATATTCACTTGATTTACTTCGTACCACTCCATCACAGTTTTGATGTCAAATCGGGCCAGGACAAAGGTTTTTCTTTGTGGCTTTTGATGAAGGGTAGCAATCGCTTTTGCAGGCACTCTTTTTGGTAAATCTTCTAGTTGATTGTGTCTGTAGTGACGAAAGATTTACTCTTTCGACCATACGTGCAAATTGCTTGCCAAATATAGAGGTGTGCGCCGTCACGCCACGCCGTCACCGCCGGCACTGTTTGGGCCACGCCGGCGCCGGCATAATTTTATCGGCGCGCCGAATGTTCAGAAATCGTCACGCCGCCCAAGTAACAATTTGGGGTTTATGAGGGTACTGTAGACCATGATTTAGACTTGTAGAGTGCTTTAAAACCTCAATAAAACTTAAAATGTTACTTGGGCGCCGGTCTACGATTTCCTACGCCGACGGTCCATTTTTTTACAGTAGTGGTCCTCTACACAGATAAAAATTCTGAATTTTAATAGTGATGTAAACATTCATTCACGTAAACTTGTGTTTCATTTCACGCAACCGAGCAACTTGTAAACATTTTTGTTTAGAATAATGGGCTTTTGTATACAATATTTGCTACATTGCATGAAATGTCTCAGAACTTTACATGATATATAATGTAAACTTATATGATATGTGACGCTCCATTTATGTGCATCATACTGAACAGAAATTTACACTACTTTTTAGAACTGTGTATATCTGTAATATGCACGCGAGGCTCAAACAGTTGTGGACTACTCAAAATTGCTTTGTTTTCATTAAAATGCTGCTCAAGTTAAAAAAAAACTTCAAAGCCATCATCACAATATTGGCGAACATGAAAGTTCTATAAGGTGCTACAAACTTCTCAAAAGTTGTATAGACTTCTCGGAAGTACTGCGGTCTTTTCGGAAGTTTCATACACTGAAAACAAAATTTCGTTTATACAGTGAAATCGCTCGTTTGTTCTACGAATTCATTCATTGTTTTTTACAACAAAATAGATTCGTGCATGTTATGTAGCTAGTTTCGTTAAAGAATGATAGTGTGTTGGTGTTATAACTTTATCGTTGAAAGGAATAAATCACGTCAAACAAATTTAAAAAGACAGACTGGACTCGAACCATGTATCTTACATTTGGCAGACTTGTGCTTTATCCTGCGCTCTATTTTTGCTACATAAAATGGTTAGGCTAAAGACAAATAAGATGCGTTCATAGAACGATAACTCGATTTCGTTAACTTTTTCTGCAGCTTGCTTGTATTGGTAAAACCAAAAATATTTGAAGTAACACCGGAACTGCTTCAAGGCTCTTGGATATGAATGCGCTGACAGAAAATTGTCAAGAGAAGAGGATTGGGAAAATTCCAAGGGTGTTCTGGAACGAACTCCTAGGAAATTCGGGAAAGTATTCTGATAATAATTTCAAACTAATTCTCAGGTTTTTTTCAGAGCATCAGGTTTATTATATGGAAAATTATAAAAACGATAACTTGGAAATTCTGAAGAGAATCCCATGGAGATTGTTAAGAGAAATCCAAGAGAATTCCACAACTCAAAGGTATTCTGACTCCTAAGAAATTCTGGCATTATTTCCAGAATAATTATGATGAGAATTCCATGGTAATCTGAATCTGAAGACAGTTCCAAAATAGAACTCATAGAATACATTTTTCCCGGTTTTTAACCAAGGGGCTGCTGAGTAGATTTCTTAGGGAATTCGTAGAATTCCAAGGAATTTTGACTCTAACTCCTAAGAACCTCTAAGTAAAATTAAATTAGGACCAGTGTTGGCAAAATCAGCAATCAATTGATATTTTTCCACTCTCATGCGCTCGCAATATCACGCGTTATATTGGAACAAAATATCATGCTTGATATTGATTTTTCAAGCTCCTTCGATATTGCGAGACTATTCACAACGTGCAAAAATCATGCTGAGAGTTGACTCGACACAAAAATGATTCCGTTGCACATCGTTTTCTTAGAAAGAGAAAGCATTGTTTGCTATCTCTTGCTACTCTTCATCGATGGCAGACACGAAGACACTACTGCCAGCCGTTATGGAAGTTTCGGTTGCATTCGGGTGTAAAGCAAAGATCATGAAACCCAATCTCACCACAGTTTGTTGGAATTTGCAGCTGGTGAGTTTTGTTAGCTTGATATTCCGAACTGCGATATCACAGCTTACAAAATCAACCGCAGCTTTTGCATGTTGATTTTTGTCTACGAAAATCAAGCGTGATCTTGGGCATTGGTGAGATTTTTTTTTAGATATTTTCCCAACACTGATTTGGACTATGAGGAGAATTCCAGGAAAATTCTAAGGAGAATTCTAACATAACTTTGATGGAAATTTCAAACAGAATTTCGGAAAAAATTCTAAAGAAATTCTAAAAATAATGCAGATAATAACTTTAAATGAATTCTGATGAGTATTCTATGGAAGTTCAAAATAATATCTCCATAGAAATTCTGACATAATCTCCTAAGGGATTTTCATAAACCACATAGACACTATAAGATAGACGGGAAGGGGGGTTGAGGATTGTCAACAGTCCATACAAATTGGCTATTGTCTGCACAATGGGTGGGGGGGGGGGTCTAAAACGGTATACGAACATTATTAAAAGCCCCAAAGGCATCCTAACAAGAATTTCTAGTGAATTCTGATAACAATTCAAAGGAAATCAATCACCAAGAGAACTTCTGGGAACAATTCATGACATTTTTTTAAGGAGATTATAAGCGAATTTTAGAAGAACAATTATGCAATGCTGAGGAGAGTTGAAATGAGGAGAGTTCCAAGATAATTCTCAATATAATTCCAAATGATCTCAATCCTTTTTTTATGAAAGCTATTAAAAAGTGGGCCACACGACTGCTCCTTCCCAATGACCATCCACTAGAGAGGTATAACAGCAATTGAGCAAACCCGACCCCTAACGAGCGACCATGCCTTTCAATAATAACAGTCAAGTGAATGCATGTCTCTCACGCTCAACAAGTTGCTGAGCGTTGAAGATGCAAATAAATGAAATCCTTTCATCAATTTATCCGATCTGCGCTTACCTTTTGCCCATCCGGTGAGTACATTGCCCAGGTAGGACACCTTAAACTCCGGATCCGGTCGGCTAATCTCGATGCTGTGGCTATTTCTCCTCCAAAGCCGCCCCAAACCGCGCGTTATCGATAGGATCGCTTTGGTCTTACTTTCACTATCATTCACGTAGCATCCATCGCCAATCTGCGGTTCCTGACTATCACTGGCGTTCGCCGTGGCGGGATCCTTCTTGTGGAACTTTTCACTATTGAGAAAGCTTCGCTTCAACTGCTGGAGCTTTAGCAGGGCTCCACTATCCTGTTCGTACTTTTTGGTATTGTAGTTATTACCGAAAATCCGCGCTATGGACGCACTTTTCACAAAACGAGATTTCTTCTTCTTGTTGCTGTTGTTGTTATTGTTGTTGTTGTTGTTACTGGCATCGTTAGCCTCCTCCCGTTGCTGGGCATGCTTGGCAATGGTTCCCGTTCCGGGATCACTTTTCGGTCGACGCTTCAGGTGAAAGATGTTGAATTTGTCCAGGGTTTTTCCGTGGGAACAGTTGTTGTTCAGGGTCCCACTGGTTTTCTGATTTTTGCTGCAGGTCAGACACGCTTCACTGTCAACCGAGGTGGGCACTTTCGGCACAAAGTCCACCTCATCCTTGCCGGCTTCACCTCCGCCTGCCGGCTCCAGTTTCCGGTCCGGTCCGGCCGATGTTTCATTCGTCGTTGATTTGTCACTAGAAGCCATGTTACACTACAAATTTCCGTTTTAGAAGCGGAAATTGACTCTCAATTAGATTCGTGCGATGCTCGTTAGTTTTCTTCGAATGGAAATCACATGGTCCTTGCCGTATGCATGCTCTGAAACTCTGAAGGTTGCGCACACTAATTAAATCACATAATATGAACCGAAAACAGCACCGTGCAAATCTTGGTACGAAGCTGCAACACAATTCCAACAACTCTCACATTTTTCTGTTTTTCCTCTGCACTTTGCTTGTGGAACGGAAAATTATCTAACGGAAATTAGCAGTTTTCAGCTACAATTTCTTCTCACTGCTCGCTACTGAAACTTTACGTAACTCGAGCACCAACCAACCGCCACCATACACCAGCCGTGTTGTTGCTCAAGTCTGGCACATACATACACACACACCTCAATACACACAATACCGCGAGGCTTTTTCGAAAGAGAAAAAAACAATCCACCGCTCTAGATTAAATTACGCGATGCATATCAATCGACCCACAGGCACACACCAAAGCCCATTTGTTTCAAGCTCTTCAGCCCTTGGCACTGCTACTACCACTCGTTGGGCGCAAATTACAAAGTGTCGATTGATTGGTCCAAGGAAAGCCTTGAACTCGATTGCTGCTGCTGTTGGTACTGCTGCAAGTGGCGTCGAACGGCGTCGTGGTTCTTGCGGGTGCTCTGCTCAAAGCTTCAAATTAGTTAGGAGGCCCACAGGCTTGCGTTGGTCGATTGCTATTGGAGGCAGACTAGGGAGGGGCAGGTTTGCAGAAAGCTACGGGCTGGAAACAGATCTTTGTCACCGCGTTGCTATGGGTTGATGTTGATGTTGTTGTTGTAGGTTCAAGTGTGTACAGGTCGGGGTATAAAGCTCCTGTCTGCAAAAAAACAGAGAAATTGCGAAAAAATCACGCATTAGTCGAGAGGTATTTCTGAAATCGATCGTGGCGATCAATGATTGCTGGCTATAAAGGGTGGTGGTTTTGATGTAGAGGTAAAAAAAATGGTGCAAAACTATGGTTTCAGCTGGTGCACCATGGTGGTTTCGTCGTTTAATCGGCGGATCCATAAATAATTATGATGGCGTTGATCCGCATTTTTTTTTCGCAAACTTGAGGATTATCAGTTTCACTACGAGACCTTGGATGTTTGCTTATTTGATTTCTATACTGATCTTACTTTGTTGGCGATTACCTTCTTCTTCTTCTTCTTTGTCTATATTACGTCCCTACTGGAACTTAACGCCGGCCCTCAACTAAGTGTTCTTTGAGCACTTTCACAGTTGATAATTGAGAGCTTTCTAAGCATGTACCATTTTTGCATAAGTATTATTGTGTGACAAGTTCAATCATGGCTCTGCTCAGGGAAGTCGAGAAATTTATCAACCCGAAAAATTCCTAGACTGGACCAGGAATCTAACCCAGCCGCCTCCAGCATGGTCTTGCTTGATAGCTGCGGCTAAGGGAGGCCCACCTACTTTTAAGTAATCAACTGCTTTGAAATAATTAGAGAATTTAAAAAGGATGACGCCTCATTCGACGTTGATTTGTCACTAGAAATATCCGTTTCAGAATCGGGAATTGTCTCCCAATTAGATCCGTTAGATGATTAGGTCATCCGATATTGCCATCAAATTGTGCTCACTCACTTATGTTCGAGATAGCTGAACCGAAAGTGAAAGCAGTTTGTTCCATTTCAGTCCGCATCGTGCTCTCTTGCCGTGCGGATCTATTTGCTTTTTGCTGAAGGAAGTATTACTACTACCTAAAGCTACAACAAATTTAAACAGCCCTTTTCAGTGCTTAAAATACCTGTAAATTCTCTATCTTATCTTGTTTGACTCTTATTCCTCTTTGATCCTTGATTCCTACCCGAGGTAATCCTTCTTGGATATCGATTTGGAAAATTCCTCTTCGATCCTTCAGATTCTTATAGTAATCTGCTTGGAAGTCGATTTGGATAAAAATTTACTGCCGGCATGGCGCCTAAACGCAAAAGAAAGGGGCAAACTCTTGACCCCCCTTCTGATGAAATTATTTTGAGTAATCAATTTGAATTGCTCACCTAAAACCTAGTAAACTTTCCCGGCTTAATGCCAAGAAGGAAAAGATTCCCCTATTGTGATAACCACTTCCGATTTCCATGCTCTTCACATGGAACTTTTGAACTTCGTGAAAGTTATATTTTCACTACAAATTGGACGTCGGGGTGAATGCCGTGTATTGGCTGAAACCTTGGACGGATTTTTTACTTACGACACCAAAACTGAACGTGTATTCAAGTTTGTCATGAAAGGACTGCCCAGTGATGAATCCCTGGATCAGATCAAAGATGAACTGGCAAAATTACTTGGAGTTGTGCCACTCCAAGTAATCAAAATGAAAATGAAATCCCGTCCTGGTGATTCGCGCAACGGGATTTCTAATGATTTTTATTTAGTTCACCTCAACTCTAGTGAACTAAACAACCTTAAGGCCTTAGAAAAAGCTAGCCTCATGCTCCATGTCCGAGTGAAGTGGGAACACTTCAGGAAGACTGGAGGAAATTTTCAAAACCTCACCCAGTGCCGTAAGTGCCAGGGATGGGGTCATGGAACTAAAAATTGCTACATGCCAGCTAAATGCATGAATTGTGGTGATTCCTCTCACGCAAAGGACGACTGTCCTGTGAAGGAAGATCCTAAGAAATTTAAATGTTCAAATTGTGGTGAAAGCCACAAATCCAATTTTTGGGAATGTAAGACTCGCAAAGCGATCCTACAATCTCGTTCCAACCGACAGGTAGGAAACGCTCAACGTTCCCGACCAACTTCCTCTGCTGTTAACAACGGTCAGCGAGGAACAAATTCTACATTCGTACCCGTAGGTACAAATATCACCCCTACTTCAAATTTTGCATCTGTACCTACTCCCCTCGCTGCTAACAATGTTCAGCGAGTTAATGGAGCTGCCTATGATGCTATTGCACCGGGTAGAAATCAAAATACTAACGAACGTAATTCTAACGGAAATTTTGACAATTTTTACTTAGAAAGCATTACTGCCCCTAAAATGGAATTTTTACAGAAATCATTAATTGACATGATTTCTGATATACTTAAATCTAACTCCATGTTTGATGCTATTCAAACTGGAGCAAAATTCATGACTTTAAAATTCAGTAATGGATTTTAAAGCATTAAATATTTTAAATTGGAATGCTCAATCTCTTAAAGATAATGAAGACGAGCTTTTAAACTTTTTGAGAGTTAATAACGTGCATATTGCCGTTATAACTGAAACGTTCCTTAAACCTGACCATAAGGTTAAGAAGGACGCAAATAATTTTATTTATAGAAATGATCGTCTTGATGGACCCTATGGTGGCGTTGCCATCATTGTTCATAGACGAATTAAACATAAAATTCTTTCTTCATTTGAAACCAAAGCTTTTGAAACTTTGGGAGTTTCTGTTGAAACAAAATTTAGACAACTTACGTTTATAGCTGCCTATTTACCATTCCAATGCGTAGGCCAGCAAAAGAATTTTCTTAAGGGTGACCTTCAGAAACTTACCCGTCATAGGTCTAAATTCTTCATTATTGGTGATTTTAATGCAAAACACCGCTCATGGAATAATGCTCAAAGCAATTCCAATGGCAATATTCTGTTTGATGATTGTTCTGCAGATTATTACACTATTCAATATCCAAACAGCCCAACATGCTTTTCTTCTGCACGAAATCCCTCAACTATTGATGTGGTCTTAACTGATTCATGTCGACTTTGTAGCCAATTGGTTACTCATGCTGACTTCGGTTCTGATCACCTTCCAGTAACTTTTGAAATATCCCAAGAAATAATGTGTAATCCCAACAGCTCTACTTTCAATTACCATAGAGCTGATTAGGTGCAATATCTAACATTTATGGAATATAACTTCGATCCAAACATTCCTTTGCAAACCAAAGATGAAATTAATTATGCTCTAGAATCTCTGACTACTTCTATAGTTGAAGCAAGAGCTGCTTCAGTACCAAAATGCGAGGTTAAATTCGATTCAATTATAATAGACGATGATCTTTAGCTCTTGATCCGTCTTAAAAATGTCCGTAGGTGACAATATCAAAGAACACGCGATCCTGCCATGAAAGCTATCTGGCGGGATTTGCAAACACAAATTAAAAAGCGATTCTCTGCCCTGAGGAACAAAACTTTTGAAAATAATGTTTTTAAATTAGACCCGAGTTCCACACCCTTTTGGAAACTCACAAAAAAATTTAAAACAAACCTCAAAAGCCTATTCCAGCGCTTAAAGAAGGTGGTAAAATTTTGATCACAAATATGGAAAAAGCTCAGAAACTTGCTAAGCAATTCGAGAGTTCCCATAATTTCAGTTTGGGTCTAACTAGTCCTATTGAGAATCAGGTTGCTCGGGATTATCTGAATATTTTCTCTCGGGAAAATATTTTTGATGATTCCTGGGGGACTGATTTGGACGAAGTAAGGTCTATAACTAAAAAGTTTCAAACTATGAAAGCTCCAGGTGATGATGGAATTTTCTGTATCCTCATCAAAAAACTCTCAGAGAGTACCTTGTCTTTCCTGGTAAAATTATATAACAGATGTTTCCATTTCCTGATAAATGGAAAAATGCAAAAGTTGTTCCATTTTTGAAGCCGGATAAAAATCCCGCTGAAGCTTCTAGCTACCGTCCAATAAGTTTGCTTTCTTCAATAAGTAAACTTTTTGAAAAGATAATTTTAAATAGAATGATGCTTCACATCAATACGAACTCAATTTTTGCAGATGAGCAGTTTGGATCTCGCCATGGGCATTCAGCTACTCACCAACTCTTAAGAGTTACCAATTTAATTCGTTCAAACAAATCTGAAGGCCACTCAACTGGAGTTGCTCTTCTAGACATAGAAAAAAACATTCGACAGTGTTTGGCATGAAGGTTTGATTGCTAAATTGAAAAAGTTTAATTTTCCACTTTACATTATGAAATTAGTTCAAAATTATTTAACTGACAGAACTCTGCAGGTAAATTACCAAAATTCCAAATCCAATCGACTACCTGTTAGTGCAGGAGTTCCTCAGGGTAGCATTCTTGGGCCTATATTGTATAACATTTTCACTTCGGACCTCCCTGATTTACCTCAGGGTTGCCACAAATCTTTGTTCGCTGATGACACAGGCATTTCCGCTAAAGGAAGAAGTCTTCGTGTTATTTGCAGCAGACTGCAGAAAAGTTTAGATATTTTCTCTTCTTATTTACAAAAATGGAAGATTTCTCCGAACGCTTCCAAAACTCAACTTATAATATTCCTTTTTCAAACCTAGTAGTAGTCACATAGTCACTATGAACGGAGTTCCAATTTCCTGGTCAAACCAAGTGAAATATCTTGGATTAATACTTGACCAAAAATTATCTTTTAAAGATCACATTGAGGGCATTTAAGCCAAATGTATCAAATATATAAAATATTTGTATCCGCTTATAAACAGGAAATCCAAACTTTGCCTGACGAATAAACTTCTAATATTTAAACAAGTTTTTAGACCGGCCATGCTTTACGCTGTGCCACTATGGTCTAGTTTTTGCACTACCAGGAAAAAAGCACTTCAAAGGATTCAGAACAAAGTTCTGAAGATGTTTTTGAAGTTGCCTCCCGGGTACAGTACTACCGAAGTACATAGAATTTCGAATGTTGAGACTTTAGAAAAAATTTCAAATAAAATTATTAATAATTTCAGGCAAAAATCGTTGCAATCCTCAATTGCAACGATTAATTCCCTTTATACTTAGAATTTTAGTTTTTAGTTTTATGATTTCAATTGTTATATTGACATGCAGGTTTGAAAACCTTGTTTAAAATACTGAATTGCCAAGGCAG